TCAGCTCTTGATGCCCCACAGGGTCCTTCGAGCCCCACCAGAAGTTATCCTTGAGTGTGAGCCAGGAGTGAGATGGGTGTGGCACAAAGCAAAAGAAAAAAATTAAATTTCTTTGAAGTCTAGCCAAAGGGCTATGTTGCTATAGCAACCTTTTCTTATCAGACTGCATGTTGTAGACTTGGGTTTGTTTTTTTTTTCTTTTTGGTCTGTTTTCATTTCTACCCTTATCTTCTTGTACATTTCCTTCTGGAACTGTAGGTTAATAGATTTTCTAAATGACTCTTTAGTAGTTTAGCTATGATTATCTTATTTGGGAACTAAACCTTTTTTAACAAAAAGAATTGAGTCATCGAGTTTTAGAGCTTCAAGTGATATTTTGTGACACTAGAGTAAAATAAGGACACTTGGACCATCCCTCGGTCATAAGCTTAAGACTCATATAAATTACTTAAAAATAAAAGGCAATTAAAATTTCTCATCCATTTGCCATCCTTGAAAAATATGTGCAACTCGATAACTGTATTGTTAAGAAGAAAGAACTGTCTTTTGACACGTTTTTCTATTTGCCATGTTCTTGATTGAGTTTTATAATTGTTCATACTGGATTGGTGTAAGAAAATCAAAATATTTATACATTTTTTTGAGGATGATTATCAACTGGAACCCAGAGGTTGCATGTATTTCTATTTTTCTCCTTTCACACCCCAAAGTTCAGACTCCAGGACAAAAGTAAGGGAGAAAACATAATGTAGGTATATCTTACTAAACAATTCTAGTCCCTAAAATCTGTGCAAGTAAAGAATAGAAATAGGGCCAAGGAAACAGCTCTATGGATTGGAACGCATATTTTGTATGCAGGAGACAGGTTTGATTTCACCACGTACAGTGGCCCCCAACTCCCATGTGAGTTGGGGTGACAGTTATAGGTGTGATCACAACTCAGGTACTTTTCTGGTGTGTTCCCCAAACAAACAAAATTGAAGTGTTTAAAGGAATTTGGTATTGAAGAAAATTTATGCACAAAGAATTTTTCTGTAAGCATTGAAATATTACCAAATTCAAAAAAACAAATATCTAGATTTTCAGCCTTGGGGTTTATTTAAAATGTAGTATAACACCTTCCTGATGAAACTAAATTGATCTTTACCAAATTAAGCCATGGGTCTAATTCAACTTTGCTTTTTATAATCTCTCCAAGGTTTTAAATCAGCTTTAAAATTTGTGGAAAATGTGATAGGCCAGCTTTTGTTTCCCAAACGACTGATAAGGAACACAAGCAGGAAATTAATTTTGTTAACTTAGTAAGAATTTATTTTACCTATTAACATAGCAAGTATACAGAGAAAATCAGAAAACTTTACATGTGCACATACATGATATGTATTTGGTGATTCTGGGCTTGGATGTACTGCAGCAGTTCCAATCCTCTGTGTTTAGTAGGTCAAGATGTTTGCAAGCTCTTACATGCAGACACTTTCAGGTTCATGCTCAACTGATGAATCATATGTGTCTTGTATTTTCCAGGCATTCTGTAGACTTAATGGGTAGAATGGTCATCCTCTTTTGCCGGGTCCTCCCCAAAGCATCCATCTTCTGAGTCATGAAGACTTACATAGGCTTTGAGTTCAGCCTGAGGTACTATTTTAGGTTCTCCTAAGAGAAGATGCCTGAAATCTGGTGCTGAGAAGTCTTTCCTTTAAAAGTAGCCCAGCAGTTCATAAACGTGCTGAAGTGAGTAGGGCAAGCTTCCTCTATAAATGACTTAATTTTCAGCAAGCAGAAGGATGGAACTTTTTTCCCCCACATTGTCAAAAAGGGAAGTTTAATGGGACTGTTCTGCCCTAATTCCAGAAAAGTCTGAGAGAACAGAGTATGATTAAAATCAGTTATTTTATTGAGGAAGAGAAGTTACTCCAATGTTCCCTGATAGAGGGAAATGGGAGGAAGTGGGAAGTCAGGTATGCTGGAGAGAACCACAAGCTCTGCCAACATTGTCAGAATCCAGGCTTTTCTGGATCTTTCCTTGGTTTGCGTCTATGGATAAGCAAAGGGTTCTGGAGCCCAAATGAGATAAGAATCTTTCAGCTGTCAACCAAGAGGCTTTAAGGTCTTCTCTCAGTCAAGGCATTCAGTGAAAATACAATTTATTTTTCAGAATCTTCTGGAGAATTAAATAGTCTCTTTCACATCGCATTACCATGCTCCCTGTTCTTGATCCTCTTTTCCATGTACTCTTTCTTCAAGCATTTTCTCATCTCTTGACCAAGATCATTGCAATGACCAAAAAATTTCAGAAAGCTGTGATTTTTGTGACATTCCTTAAGCAAGTTTATCAAGATGTTGCACTCTTCAGTGCGCAAGTGTGGAGATAGATGCAAGGATGCACCTTTAGGAAGAGGTGACTGAGCCCAGCAGAACAACCTGGACGGCAGCCCCACCGGGTGCCTACAGCGAAGCCAGGGTGATGTGCTCAGTGCTGACTCGCCGGGCCCGGCCCAAGGATGGAACTGTCAAAAGTTTTTCATGCTGACTCTACTTAAGTAGTCATATCAGCGATAGCACACCAAATAGGTGCAAATACTAATAATTAAGTTATTGTTAGCTATGCCCCAAACTGTGGCATGGGCATTTTATATGTATTTATTCATTTAATCCTCAAGATGATCGTGTAAGATAAGTGCTATTGTAAACATACATATTTTGAAGAAAAGAAAACCAAGATTTTAAGAGGTAAAATGAATTGTTAGTTGGAAAGCACATTAGTTCATCCTAGGTTTAAGTTTGAGAAATTGCGACCCTCCCTGGACTCAGTTCCCTTATTGGTAAATTCAGAAGACATATTTCGCTTCCTTTTTCAAACTTCTCTTTAATCTAATCTGATATATGTGACTTTACTGGAGAGGTAATTGTGAAGGTAGGGGATTTCCAATCAAGGCCAAATAATGGCAACATATCCATAGTGCATAAATACACGAAGGACTCAGATTGCACATTAAGTGCCTGTGTGCCCCACTACTTTCTCTACTGAAGAGAAAGTGTCTCTGACAAAGTTTTGCTGATCAGCTATTGCACAGGGAAATCCAGTCACAGTTTGGATATTTATATTTGGCGATCTTCTTACTTTTCTGATGTACTGGATATAAACAGCTGTTCTTCAATTCTGGTGAAGGAACGGTAACTACAGACAGAAAACAGATAACAGAAAACAGCCTTCAATCTGTCAGTGGAGTCACATTTTAATATCAACTTGGGGTTCCCAAGTTTCTTCTGTGGCAGGATTAAGTCCTCAGGCTTGGGGCATGGGTTAGGGTTAAAGAAACCTGTTCTTAAGGCAGTTGTCTTTGTAATAATACATATCTGCATAAACCTCATATGGTTTTATGGTGGGTCCATAAAACCATAAGGAAGAGGCCCCGCCCTGTCTCTTAATTTCTATACCATAACTAAAGACTCGGAACCATTTTGCTGCCTCTGTCCTACACAGAAACCTCCAAGGTCCAATCTGCTTAAGTCAAACGCTTCCCCCAAATTGTCTTTTCTTACTACTTTTTAATTCATGCTTTTTGAAATATTTGGTATATTGACTAGAATTGAGTACTTTTTTGCTTTTGTTTTGTTTTGGGGGCCACTTCTGATTGTACTCAAGGCTCATTACTGGCTCTGCGTGCAGGGATCATTCCTGGCCGGCTCAGAGGACCATAAGCCATGCCAGGGACTGAATGTGGATTGGCCTCCTGCAAGGCAAGTGCCCTCTCAGTATACTATCTCTCCAGTCCCAATAATTTTCTAAGATTAAAATATGCATATTTTTCTTGGTTCTGGGCCACTTGGGGTACAGTGCTCAGGGTTACTCCTGGCTCTATGCTCTGAGATTCTGGCCAGCTTGAGGAACCATATCCAAAATAATGCTGGGAATCTCACCTCGTGCAAGGCACACTCCTTAAACCATGTACTATTTCTCCTGCAGTTTTTCTAGCTGTAGTTTTTTTTTTTCTTTTGGGTGACACCCGGCATTGCACAGGGGTTACTCCTGGCTCATACACTCAGGAATTACTCCTGGAAGTGCTTGGGGGACCATATGGGATGCTGGGAATTGAACCTGGGTCGGCCACGTGCAAGGCAAACGCCTTACCCACTGTGCTATTGCTCCAGCCCCGTTTTTTTTTTTAAAGAAAATTTTACTACAACAGAAAACTTTTCACTTGTCATAAAGACGAAGCAGCCAAAACCATAAATCACACGAAATGCAAACAATAATACAATTCTACATGAGTAGATTCCAAAGTGGGCAGAATCCGAAAAGGAGGCAGTAGGTCAAATAACTTTTCGGAACATCTGTTCAAAACAGATACTGCTTGCCCTTTACAAATTTGTAAAAACTGAGCAATGAATCCAGAAAGATTATCTTCTCCAGTGGGCGAGTACCTAAGTTAATCCTTCAAAATATAACCACATGGAAATTCAGGTATTTCATAGACATGTGGATGCGTGACAGGGAAATTGCCCGACTTTATATGTTATATTATACATAAATTATAAACCATATATTATATATTATAATAAATATAATATAAATACGCCCTACCTCTGTGCTACCGCTCCAGCCCAATATAAGATATATAAATATATAATATACATATTACAAATTATAAAGTCGTATATTATAAATGTGACCAATATAAGCTATACTAGATGACAAAGCGATGACGGAAGACAGGTCGCCTTAACCAGGGGGACGCTTGGCCCTTTCCCTGGTCAAACAGAAGACCCCATCTCCTGGAGCTCCCGTTGGCGCGGGCTTTCCACCCCCCCTCACCTCCCCACCACGAGGCCCCGGACTACAAACCCCACAATGCCCCGCGCGCGGGCTGGGCAATGCTCTCCTCCGCGTCCCGCAGCTTTCCCTCTGCTCTGCCTACAACTCCCACAAGCCCTCTCGGCGCGGCGCCTCGGCCGGGCCCGGGGTGGAGGCGGAGGCGGAGGCGCGGGAGTTATGGAGGGGGCGGGCTCTGCAGGGAAGTGCGTCAGAGGAGGCGCGGGGAGAGGAGGGTGCCGTGGTCTGAGCTGGAGGGGGAAGCTGCGGGAGCAAGAGGATGGGCGGTGAGTGAGCGGGATCCGCGTCGGCGGAACTCGGCGGGGAGGGCGGGGGGGGGGGGTCGCCGCGCGTACCCGCTCGGCGGTGCAGGCGGTTAGGAGCGGGGTGCCCTCGGCGGGGCTGCGCGGCCGGGCCGTGCCCTCCGCCGAGTGGGCTGGGGAGGGGCCTGCCCGGGCCCCCGGGGCCTCGCCCGCCGCCGCGCAGGCTGCCCCGCCCCGGCCCGCGGGCGCCTCCGACCTCCCGGTGCCCGGGGACGTGACCGGGCTGGGAGTCCGGCCTGAGCGCCGCGCAGCTCCTGTTTTGTCGGGACCCCGGACCCCACTTCCCTTATTTATTTATTTTTTTTAAAGGTCATTTGCAAGTAGTTATCATGAAAGGGGGGGTACTAGGAACCCAAATCCAGACCCAACTTCACTGGGAGTTCTGTCCATCACGGTACTTAACCGCCCGGCTCGGGTCCCTGAGTCACTTCCCCCTCTTCACAAACTCTGCAACCCGTTGGCGAACCTGTTTTTGGGGCGCGTTTGTAAGGTGCTCGGTGCGGTCACGGGCTCCACTGGCAGTGTTTGACTCAGCGTGATCCGCCTTGAGTCATTCTCCTGCGGCCCTTGACAACTGCCGCCGAACCCAGTCCACGCCTTGGGTGTGTTTACTTTTTTTTTTTAGTGCTTTTTTTTTTTTTTAATTCAGAGGTTTTTTTTTTTTTTTTCCCTTTGAGGTTGTTGGAGGGATCGTGTAGTTTGTAGCAAGGAGGTTCCAAAGTAGAAGGAAAGAGGGAGGGGCGGCTCGGGGGAGTGGGGAGTAGTGAGTAGTGAAGACTGGAGCAGGGGATGAAGACGTTTGGGCATTCATGGATTGATGGGCGGATTGCTAACTTGCATTATTATAGGTTGTTATTCTCTCTGCCGGTCCCCGTGCACCTAGTACGACCTTAACCGGGAATTAGCAAAGAGCCTGAGCTGTGTCCCAAATAGTTCTGGACTCTTCAGCTGCCCTGGGAGATTTAAAAGTCAGGAGGTGGATTTGCATGGACTTTCTAAGCCTTTGTCACGCTCAGACCCGGGACACTCCAATGCCCAGTAGCTTGGGTCAGAATTCTTTCTGCAATGAAAAGTCCGTGCACGGTTCCCTGCTGACTGGGCATGTCTACTGTGTGTACCTGTAATGTGTATGTCCATTTCAGTGTTGTCTGTTTTAGTGTGCAGGTGATAGACTAGAGAACAAGACCTCTGTCTCCGTAGCATCCTGGGTATGTGAGCATGCATAAGTACTTTCATGATAATAAGTTTTGTTTTGAACTTATTTGAGTACTATGTGCTTGCTTTTTTTTTTTTTTTAAATTTCTTATTATACATTAAAGAGCCAAGGGATGGGGGAATAAAGGGTGGTATATTTCTTTCAAAATAATCTTGATTTGTCCTAGAAGCCTAACTTCCTTTCTTCGACTTTTTAAACAGAGCAGTCTGAATGCCAGAATGGATAACCGTTTTGCAACCGCGTTTGTAATTGCCTGTGTACTTAGCCTCATTTCCACCATCTACATGGCAGCCTCCATTGGCACAGACTTCTGGTATGAATATGAATATCGAGGTCCAGTTCAAGAAAATTTCAGTGAATTGAACAAAAGCCTGTGGGATGACTTTGACAGTGATGAGACAGATGAAAAGACATACAATGATGCACTTTTCCGATGTAATGGCACCCTGGGGTTGTGGAGACGGTGTATTACTAGGTCCCAGCCTACAGGTTAGTATAGCCCACCTTCCAAAGGATATTTTAAAGTTCTGGGTCCTTTATTGATGCAGTAATAAAGGATGAAGTTCCAGTTATGTATAAGCCATCTTGTGGATGCTTGCTTTCCTTCCCTCAGTGCTATTTTCTCTTCCCAATTTCCATTAATTACCATGGTATTCAGTATTGATTGGACGAATAATTATTACACAGGAGCTATTTTAAATCTTTGTAGTTATTTATCTGTTCATTAACTTCTTTTTTTAAATCTTAGCACAGAAGATAATTACAAAAGTACATTGGAAGATTTTAAATGATAAAAGGATTGATAGTCAAGATTTAGTACAAAAAAATCAGTAGACAGTCTTTATGTGTTACATGTTTAAGTAAATATTATCACTTTCCCCTACACCTTTAAGGGTATAATTTAACCAGTTCTGAATTGAAGCATGAGCATAGTTGGAACTGTTAAAAGAATTTTACAGAGTTTGCAGGTTAAAATATGCAGTGCAAAAATAAAACCCAAGAAATTGCCCCGTTTCTTTTATGTTCATTCTTAGCATTACAAATGAACATTTTTTTTTTAGTAGAAAAAAACTTTTGCAGTTTATGTTTGTGTAGTAAAAACATCATAGGAAAACTTTGTAGGTAAAACTTTGTTTCTGTTTGTGGTTGTTTCTTTTGGCCTCTTGGTGGGAACAGTGCTCAGTTGTAGCACAGCAGAGTTGAACTATGTAGCGAAAAGATGATAGTTGCTGGAGAGGATAGTGGTATGGAGGAAAGGAAGTTTGGATATAGGAAAAAGTTGGTTAAAATTCACTGTCAAATGTTCAGTTCAACTTATGAAAGTATCAGAGTATTTCATATTTTAATTTCACCAAACATTTATCACTCAAGTATTTATTGCATTCTTCTCTGTTCCAGGTTGGAAGAAGTCAGGTTAGAAACAAAACATTAGTACTTCTGGGGAGCTAATATTCTAATAAAAAGTGTAGACAATAAGCCGTAACAGTCTAAGTAGAATAAGTAATTTTATAATATGTAAAAGATGACACATGCTTTGAAAAATTCAGTTACCCTGGGAGTAGGGAATAGGGTACATGATAGGGCTACTCTCAAGAAATGGTGAGGATTTTGGTTTTTATAGCACAGCAGGTAGGGCATTTGCCTTAAAAGCGGCCAACATGGCCTACCCGAGTTCGATTCCTCCACCCCTCTCGGAGAGCCTGGCAAGCTGCTGAGCCCGCACGACAAAGCCTGGCAAGCTACCTGTGATGTATTCGATATGCCAAACACAGTAACAAGTCTCACAATGTTACTGGGCCCGCTCGAGCAAATCGATGAACAACGGGAGGACAGTGACAGTGATCCTTGATGTGATAAATTGGAGTTTGGGTTGGAGAATGTGAGGGTTTGGTGGCGGGGCGGGGGGGCGGGGGTGTCTATAAAGGATAGATCATCTGGCTACGTACGTTGATGCTGGTGTATATTGAAAGCCAGCTTAAGTAGAAGCCTGGAGATGAGTTATTAGGCTCCTATATAATTCAGGTGAGAGAATTTTTTATAACTCAGACCAAAGTGATAGCACTAAGCAAAGGCAGGCTTCTAACTGTATTTTGGAGGGAGCGCCTCTTCAATTTCCTAGTGATGCATGTCTTACTCTAGAACTTGATGATCTGGAGAGCTAGAGGATAACATTGCCCTTACCTGAGTGGAGAGATCAAAGTTCTTTTTAATTTTTAAGCACAGCGGGTAGGATGTTAGCCTTGCATGCGGCTGACCCGGGTTCTATCCTCTATCCGTCTCTGAGAGCTACCAAGAGTATCCCGCCTGCACGAAAGAGCCTGGCAAGCTCCCTGTGGCATATTTGATATGCCAAAAACAGTAACAGCAGGTCTCACAGTGGAGACGTTTCTGGTGCCCACTCGAGAAAAATCGGTGAACAACCGGAGGACAGTGCTACAGTGCCACCTCCTCTTACATATCTATTCTTAATCATTTTACTTGTTTTCTTCCTTTTGTCTGTATTAAGCCCCACCAGCCACTGATAATCACTTACTTACTTCCATTGAATTGATGAATCCTGCCTGTGTCTTAAGGCCAAAAAGTTTGCTGACTCTCTTGGAAACATTCTTCTATGTCAGTTTATATTTTAGAGAGTAATTACTAAGTAAAGTAAAAGTAAAGGCCCTCCCGTTGATCATCGATTTGCTCGAGCGGGCCCAGTAACGTCTCCATTGGAGACTTTGTTGTTACTGTGTCTGGCATATCGAATACTCTCGGTAGCTTGCTGGGTTCTCCGAGAGGAGCGGAGGAATCGAACTCGGGTCGGCCATGTTGGCTGCGTGCAAGGCAAACGCCCTACCCGCTGTGCTATCGCTTTTAGAGAGTAATTACTAAAAGATATTTATTGGGTGCTTTCAGTTTAAAATAAGGAATTGTCATTTTTGTTTCAGAGCCCTTTGATATGGTCACAAAATGCGTTAGTTTCACACTGAATGAACAGTTCATGGAGAAGTTCGTTGATCCTGGAAACCATAACAGTGGGATTGATTTGCTTCGGACCTGTGAGTACTTTGATCCAAGCAGAACATTTTGGGAGAGAAAAGGAAGAATTTAAAATTTTTTTAAATTTAAAAAATTTGGTGCTGTATCGGCGGAGTGGTCAGGGAGACTCTCCAGTGTCAGGGATTGAATCCAGGCCCACCAGCTTTTTAAACCATCTTCTTGGTGCCCCCAAAAGGGTGGAATTTCATTTGCCTTTCTGGAAGTCTGTTTGGGGAATAAAATAATATACCTTGAAATAAGATCTCTACACATATTCCAATGAACTTTTGTCCTGTTAATAAATGTATTTTATTTTTATTTTTTGTGGTAGGGCGTTTGCCTTACAAGCGGCCAACATGGCCGACCCGAGTTCGATTCCTCCGCCCCTCTCAGAGAGCCTGGCAGGCTACCGAGAGTATTCGATATGCCAGACACAGTAACAACAAAGTCTCCAATGGAGACGTTACTGGGCCCGCTCGAGCAAATCGACGATCAACGGGAGGGCCTTTACCTTTACCTTTTATTTTTTTATGAATCACCATGAGATGCACAGTTACAAAGTTGTTCATGATTTGGTTTTAGTCATTCAGTGTTCCAACACCTGTCCCTTCACCATTGCACATTTCCCACCATTGACATCCTGAGTTTCCCTCCCGCCATCCCTATTAATATACTTTAGAAGGTGCATACTAAACAGATTGCAAATATGAAATTGTGAGACTACTAATGCATTGTATGACAAAATCTAAGTGCCCCCAATGGTGTTATTAACGAGTCCATTAAATAGAGAGTAAATTTAATAGGGATAAGTAATAAATTCCTTTATATGAGTTAAACACTTCAACCTGAATTGATGCAGGGAAGTGTGAAAGAAAATTGATTGCTAACTCTGAGTCAACTGAATATTAGGTAGGCCTGCCAAAAAGTGTTCCTTCTTAGGTGGCAGTAACAGGAGTGTAAATGTCAAAAACAAATGAAAGTCTTTATTTGTAGAATTGTGTTCCTGTTCCTTAGTGGCCCAGGTTTCCCAGGAAATACTCATATTTGGATCTAGGTTCAATGATAGAGAGAGTTGCTGGAGCTTGTCTGGAAGAATGACCATGTCGTGAGAGGAAATAGTGAATAAACGGCAGGTATGCAGTCTTAAATCACAAGTGTATAGGAGGGAATTTATTACCCACAGTTTGGAAGGAAGTGAAAAGACTTCAGTTTTTCTGGAAAGTAACACCAGCATTAAAAGTTGCTACCAGGACCGGAGAGATAGCATGGCTGATAAGGCACTTCCGCACAGTTGGCTCATTTTTAAACTTGGTGCCGTGTGTGGTTCCCTGAGTACTGCCAGGAGTGATTCCTGAATGCAGAGCCAGGAGTAAACTGAACACACCAGGATTTGATCCCCAATGCTGCAAATGGTCCCCCAAGCACCAATGGAATGATCCCTGAGCAAGTGTTGTGTTGTTGCCCCAAAGCAAGAAAGTTCAGAAATGGGTAAAAGACCTCTATACCAGCCCCAATCTAGAGGGAAAGGTAGGCAGCACTCTTCATGACATTGAGTTTAGCATCTTCAGTGACTGAAGCAAACAGAAGAAGAGATAACAAATGGGATTGCATCAAATAGGCTTGACAGTGCTCAAGATTCATTAACCAGAATTAAAGAGATACTCCCCAGAATACGAGGAAATATTTCCCTACCACTCATCTGACAAAGGGTTAATATCCAAGCTATATAAAGCACTTGTAAAATATAGCAACAACAAAAAAAGTTATAGAATCTCATCAAAAAATGGGAGAGCAGACACTTTCTCAAGGAGACATGCAGATGGCCACGAGATAGATTGAAAATAAACAGATAAACTCTCCATCACTTATCAGGGAAATACAGTTCAAACAATAATGGGATGTTATCTCACGTTAGTGAGATCAGCACAGATTAAAAAGAACAGAAACAGTGCTGGTGTGGATGTGAAGAAAAAATACCCTCATCCATAGTTGGTGTAAAGGTCACCTGGTTCAGTCTCTTTAGAAAACAATTTGGAGACTTCCTAGAAAACTAAGACTTGAGCTTCCATACTACCCCCGTTTCCTGGCATCTACCCGAAGGGCCCCAGAACCTTTGAAAAGACTGTTTGTGCTCCTTTGTTCATTGCAGCACTGTTCACAATAGCCAAGATTTGGAAACAACCCAGCTGTTTAAGAACAGTTGCTTGGATTAAGAAATTGTGTTATAGGGGCCAGAGAGAGAAAATATAGTGGGTAATGTGTTTGCCTTGTATGCAATGCACCCAACCAACCTGGCTTTAATCCCAGGTGCCACATATCGTCCCCTGAGCTCCACTAGAAGTAAGCCCCAAGCACACATCTAGGTGATCCCCAAACCAAAAATAAGTTGTATATATATCTATACACACACAAATACTGCTTAGGTGTAGAAAAGATAAAATCATGTAATTTGGATGAAACTGGAGAGTAGTATTCCATATGAAGACAGGGATGGAGGCAGGACAAGGGGGCAGGGGGAAATGATTCATTGCTGGAAGGTAAGGATTGGAATATTGTATGCCTGAAACTCAATCATGAGCATTTTTGTAACTTTGTAACTCATGGTGATTCAATACAATAATAGAATTTTTTTTTTTAAAGAGGGGGACAGATACAGAATGATGTCATATATATGGGATGCAAAGAAACACAACATGGGACTAACCAAGGTCAAAGTCAACTAACTTGAAGAACTGGTCTATAGAACTGAACTTAACATGGGAGCCAGAGAGATAATACAGTGGGCAGGGCATTTGCCTTGCATGTGACTGACCCAGGTTCTATTCCTGGCACTCCATATGGTCCCCAGATCCCTTCCAGATCCCTGAGCACAGAGCAAAGAGTAAGTCCTGAGCACTGCCAGGTGTGGCCCAAAAACCAGAAGGAAAACAATTTAGGAAAGGAGGGTGTTGTGGGAGGGGACCTTGTGACAATGACCATAGTGGAGGGAAGTAGCAGACTGTCTGAGTGGAGCATGTGGTGCCCGCAGGGTGTATACGGGAACCATCATTGACAGTATTGTAATTCACAGTTCCTCATATATTTGGCTGAGGCCCGGGCAGCATCGCATTGCATCCTCAGGCCTTTGTGCTGAACCTTTGGCCAGGAGATTTGCCTTGGTGGGGACCTCCCCCTGTCAATTCCCTGCCCCCTCTTCCTCCCCTCAGCACACTTGAAAAGTGCAGCCCCATCCAGAGTTTGATGTTTAGTTTACTAAACACTAATACATTGCTAATAAGTTAATTTTAAGTTGAAGTGGGATGCTTAATAAAATCATCCACTTTCTTCCCATATTGTAGGAAAACTGTTGGAAATCATGGTAACGTTTCCTTTTCTCTCTCCTTTTTTTTAAAACCAGATCTTTGGCGGTGCCAGTTTCTCTTACCTTTCGTTAGCCTGGGTTTGATGTTCTTTGGGGCTCTGATCGGACTTTGTGCTTGCATCTGCCGAAGTTTGTATCCTGCTATTGCCACAGGCGTTCTTCATCTCCTCGCAGGTGAGTCTTGTCATTGTGGCCACTTTTGGGTCTGCTTGTCTCTTTAAGAACCAAAGAGTTGATTCTTACATATTCACAGGTGACTGCCTGTTATAGCCAATATATAGACTGCTCATACCGTATACTTACCCAGCTTTGTTTTGTTGTTTTTCAAACTTCATCTTAAGGTCTTTGTACGCTGGGCGCAGTTAGTTGTTACGTTGCTGGAATTGAACTTCTCCACCAGAAGCTAGTGCTGCCGGAAAATGTGTCTGGGGAATTTGGATGGTCCTTCTACCTGGCTTGTGTGTCAGCTCCCTTACAGTTTATGGCATCTGCTCTCTTCATCTGGGCCGCCCATACCAATCGGAAAGAGTACACGTTAATGAAGGCCTATCGTGTGGCGTGAGAAGGAAACCGCTTGCTTCACAGTTGTCTATTTTATTTTTTAATATTCATGTTTTCACTCATCTCCCGCCCAAATTGTTTTTAAAACTTTGTGAGTGAACCCTTTTATCCTGGAAAATCCAGTTTATTTATATACACTGAGTCCTTTATTACTTAGACTAAAATTGACATGGTTACATGTGGATTGATTCCATCTTGCAAACTAATCTTGGCTCAGTCTAAACTGAAAGAAATGGGATGACACTTGGCATATTGTTGTGAAAGGAACTGATAGTGGAAATTGACCCAAATGTTCTATGTCTGTTAAGGTTTTTCACTAATGTAACTATCTGTTTAACTGGCAACATTTTGTTTCTTTGGGAACCTCTTCTAGTGTTCAAAACTTTGTGTTCACCTCATTATTATAGATAGCCAGTCAGCCACAGCTATTCTGTTTTCAAAGACTCGAGCTGTATTAAATAAGGAAGTTATCTAAGAATCTTTTCCTTAAGTATTCACTTGTAGCTTCATCAGAAGTGGAATAAGGTAACTGTTTATCTCCACTGTGTCTATAAGAAAGGAAGTGAAAAAACAGTGATTACTTGAAATTTTAATTTTGTAATTACAAGAATTCCAGTTCAACCGGACAAGAGGATTAACTTTGTTTTCATTTTTTTTTAAAGCTCCATTTTAGTTGAATTTTCAGTACCACGAAATAATTTTGCGTTTTTCTCCTTTCTTCTTCAGACCCTGTGCTTCTTCCCCAAACCCCCAACACCCTTTTTTTAAGAGTACAATGGATCACAGAGTACTTCCCCAACTGTTGTCAGTTTATTCCAGCTAAATACCATAAAAAAAGTTCCACTATAATGACGCTCCAGAGCTAGGAAAACTACCACAAGATCTAAAGCTTTGGCTGGTTAGTAACTTCCAACTATGGTCTTTATTTCTTGTGGTGAAATGATGTGCCTTTCCTTGCCTGAATCCATTCCTGGTTGTATCAAAATTATTTAATGTCTTCTAATTCAGTCATTTTTTTATAAACGTCTATAAAACATTGAACTTTTAAGAAATCTTATTTATTTATTCCATTACTATAGCACTTGACAGATTTTAAAACAATGTAACAGTAATTTCTTACACTGTCCTAAATCTGTCTTTTTTAAAAAATAAAAAATGAAAAGAGATCTATATTGTTTATTGAGTTCATTTAACTTTAGTACCTTAGGATAACGAAGTACAGGATTGTGAGTGGAGATTATTTTGTCTTTGAAAAATGCTTTGTTGCTTTGTGGACTTGTCCTTATATTTAGAGTCGGGACTCTGGAACCCCTTGCCCCCAGTTGAAAATCAGAATAACTTTTTAGTTTCAGAATTTTGAAATATTTTCAGAGTTTTAAAATCAAACTCTGGATGGGGCTGTACTTTTCAAGTGTGCTGAGGGGAGAAAGAGGGGGCAGGGGATTGGCAGGGGGAAGTCCCCACCAAGGCAGTTCTCCTGGCCAAAGGTTCAGCACAAGGGCCTGAGGATGCAATGCAGTGCTGCCCTGGCCTCAGCCAAATACATGAGGAACTGTGAATTACAATACTGTCAATGATGGTTCCTGCATACACTCTTATGTACCACTCTGGATGTGGCTAATTTTTTATAAAGTCCCTTACTGATTGGATACGTGTTCAATATTAAGGAAATAATCATGTCAGTGTCTGAGTAGTACAAAGTCACTATTCCTCTCAGCATATAATTGCCTATGAAATGACTCACTTAGTTTTCAACCTGTTCTTAACTCCTGAAGTTTTATTGTTTACCAACACTTTCTCTTGAAACAAACAAGACAATAGGAATGGAATTTAGTTTATCATTTATTTTGGTGGGAGTTTTAGATGCATCCTGAGGGCCCTTGCCAGTAATTCTCCGCCAACCTGGTGGTTCAATGCAGAGGGCCTGACGATGCAGTGCTCATCAGACCCTACAGTGCCAGGGGTTTCCTAAGCTGTCCCAGGGGTCGTGGGGGTGGGGTGGGGTGGGGTGGGAGGCTTCTCCAGAACTGCTCCCAGTGATTCTTGGGAGATGGTGTGGTGGTACTGGGGAGTGAATCAGCGCCATGCAAGGCATATGCCTTACACTGTCTCTCGGGTCAGCAAACGGGATTTTTAAATTATTGGCCAACATCACTGATTTGTTCCAGGAGTAGTGATTTTGTTTTCTGTTACCTCAGCTGCCTGTGGTTGTGATGATTGGATGTTTGTGAAACAGTTTTAGTAGCAGCATCCTTGTTAGGAAGGTGCATCATAAACCTGGTGCTGAATATGTGCTGAGGTTGCTATTTTAAGTGTGCTGCATCGCAGACCTTCCTCTTCTGGGAAGATTTTTTTTTTGTTTTGTTTTGAAAACGTCATTTTTCATTCAATGAGAACTTTTTCAGCTCTCTCATGAACTAATAAGGTCGAACCATGTAATCATGGTTTGGATTAAGTCAGTTTTTCTCAAAGTGGAGGATAACCCTTCAACTCCTTTCCTGGGGTCCTGAAATCCAGGGGTGCAGTTGAGGGGCTGAGTGCTTTCTGTTTTATTTGCTTAAAGAAGGTAGATTTCAGGATGGGGTGGGGGGAGGCAGGAGGTGGAGCGGGAGTTTCTGAAAAGGGTGGTAGGCCAAATAAAAAACCCAAAACAAAATCAGCATAAAATGTATTATTTTTCTACTTTATACTTGAAAATAACCCCTCAAAGTAAAATATTTTCATTCCTTTAGGACATGAATTTTATGGGAACTTATGAAGTATATTTTAAAATTTAATGGTTCCTAACCTCCATTGTATGATGTAAAGGTCTACATCTTTTCAAGCAAGAAATTATTTCAAAATTGCTTTGGGATAGTAATTAAAGATAAAGTCACAGGATAAAAATGGTTGAATAATTCTAGAAGAGTTTATTTATTCGAATAACACTGCTTCCTTGGCCATGATATGCTAGCATTTTGAATTTAATAGTAATGTGTTCCAAGGTAGAAGAAGATTATTGTGTCTTGGGGGATTGAGAGTTAATCAATTACATGCAGGTGAATTGAGACACAAATGTGAAAAGTAGCATGGCATACAACAAATCAATTGAGAGTTTGCTTTTCTGTTCCAAAGATACCACTACACTGCAGACTAGTACTGTTGAAACTTACATATCCAGTAATTGTCAATGACAATAACATGGTATGAGTGGCATGTGAAAATTTAAACTTTTATGTTTAAACTGATGCCAACTTTTCCTCAAAGCTAAAAAATAGCCTATAAAGCATGTTGGTTTGTAGTCCTAGCTCTGTCCATCTTTCTAAGCCCTTCTTTCATCTTTGGTAAACTGTCATCATCAAATTTACGTCAACATCGCAATGAAGGTTTTTCCACTTACAACAGTGCCTGACATTTCCCAGATCATAGGTCATGGGTGCAGATTCAGAGATGTCAGTTGTTATTTCGCAAGCTCCTTGCAACTCTGGCTTGGCACAGGTGGGTGGAGTCCTTTTGTCTACCTTTGAGCCCTGCGCTCATAAGGGAATAATAAATCATACCTTGAAAAGAGAAAACAAGAAATCATCTGTATAGGTTTTTTTTTTTACTTCCTGTTGCTCAGGTATTTCAACAGTATTAGAATGAGATGTTTTTCCTTTGGGTTGAATTATATATGGCAATGTACTTCAAATTCACTGTGTGAAAATATTAAGGTACAAAGAAAGATTGCTTACTTGCTCTGTAGAAGAAGCTATGAGTCATTTGCTCAGTATTGAAATTTATACTGGTAAAATTAATATCATTATATGACATGAACCTCTCCATACTTGGAACGCATGTGAAAGCAACATTCAATTTATACTTTTTACCTTTGCAGAGGGTTATTAAAACTGAAATGAGGACCGGAGAGATAATAGATAAGGTGCTTGCCTGGCTTCAGCTGACCTGGATTTGACTCCTGGCACCATATAGCTACCCCGACTACTGCCAGAAATGTTCCTTGAATAGGATGTTAAATGAAAGGAAGATAATTTTTTTGGTTTTATCTTCATCTTTTAAAACATCTCAGTACAGAGCCAGGAATAAGCCTGAGGTAACAGTGGGTAAGGCACATGTCTGGCACACAACTGACCCTGTTAAAAGCCTGGCACTCCATAAGGTCCCCTAAACCACCAGGAGTGATCCCTGAGTACAAGACCTGAGTGCTATTGGGTGTGGCTCAGGACCCCCACCTTCATAAAAAAATTACTGGCTAACCTATAACCTTTCATTTGACTCAGTGACTCAGAATATGAACTTTACCTCACCTCTGCTGTAGCCTTGCAGCCTCTCCCTGTCTTTCAGCTTTGTTTTTCTCTACCCAGCTTGTATTGTTACTTATATGGTCACCAGCATACCATGTCTCTTGTTCCCATAATCTCTGTGGTACCTCTCTTCACATGTCTTAGCTTTACCTGCATAGATGGTGCTATGTAGTTTTCATAGTGTCACAAAAGATACTTCATTTGGCTCTCTCAAACTGTAAAAGATGTTTCTGTAAAAATGGGAGGTAATTTGATTTTTGCTGCTTGACAATTTTTAACTATGACTTTTATTGCTCCCGGCACATTTTCCAAGTTTCTACTAAAGTATTCCACCTAAGAGTTCACAAAAAGAGTTTTACATTCTCTTCAGGAAAGGAGTATTTGGGCTAGAGAATATGGCAGATAAGGTGCTTGCCTTGCATGCAGCCAATCCAGACTCAGTCCCTGGGACCCCACAAGGTCCCTCTCCCCCTACTAGGAGTGACCGATCCCTGAGCAAAGAATGCGGAGTAATACCTGAGAATGCGGAGTAATACCTGAGCTCACCAGATGTGGCTCTAAAAATCACAAAAATCGTGAAAACAATAAGTATTGGAATGGACTGTTTGGAAAAAAGGATCATGTTAGTGGATTGAAATGATCTGAGGATAAAAGTACCATAAAACATCAGAGTGGTTCAAATTTCAGCTTGGAAGATAAATAGCATACTAAATTTGTAATTCCAGGACTATCACATAGCTTTCCAAGCCCTGCTTTTCCCATCTGTGAAATGCTGGATATTGTACCTGTGTCATAGAGTTTAAGAATTACATAAATTGTGAGCATAAAATAGCCACTCAGAAAAGGCTTTTACAGGATCTTAGAGTTTCTGGGCTTACAAAATGATGACTCTCAGTCTAGGCTGCATGTTGAAATTGCCTGGAAAGCATCACAAAACTTCATGCCCTTAAGATTCTGTTATTTTCAGTGTAGAGTATGTCCAGGTCACTGGGAGTGTTTTATCCTTTCTAAGAAATTTCAGTGGGGGTGGCTATGCTGGAAAAATAAGCAAGTTTGAAAAGTAAAAAATAGGATTTCCTGCTTGGCAGATTGCTAGAAACAGTGTACTCTGTCAAGTAAACAGGCCTGGCACAGTGCCTGCTTTCTAGAAACCATTTCTCTCCTGCGATTTCCAGCAGACGGGTCTCTGAGATGAGATGAGCCTCTGTCCATCTTACCGCTGCTGACTCTACATGTATTTTTTGCAAGAGTTAGCCTGCAGTTATTCTGCTGTTGAGCCTAAGATTTAAAATCGACTGGTGATAGTAGAGAGGTGCTTTTGGCTTCAATTCCTTACTGCTTTCTTCAGTACAATAATGCACCCTGGAGTTAGCAGTGATTAGGCCTTCATAAATGAAGGGAATTCTTTGATTCCTTTCTGCTTAACAGTTCCCTGTATTTCTATTCTTTTAGTTAGAACCAAGAAGGAAATAGACATGAGTGATTACTCTAAGCCAGAAAAGCTTGAGGATGGACAAGAACTTGCCTCAGTAGACTAGTAGACTATTCAGAGGATTGAATAAAGGTAAAGGCCCTCCCGTTGATCATTGATTTGCTCGAGCGGGCCCAGTAATGTCTCCATTGGAGACTTTGTTGTTACTGTGTCTGGCATATCGAATACTCTCGGTAGCTTGCCGGGCTCTCCGAGAGGGGCGGAGGAATCGAACTCGGGTCAGCCATGTTGGCCGCTTGTAAGGCAAACGCCCTACCCGCTTTGCTATCGCTCCAGCCCTATAGGAAGACAGAAATCCTGGAACATAAGAACTCAATAAACGCAAGTTACTTGGAGGACAACTAGCAAACAGGAGTGTGGGGGAGTCAGTCTTTACCTGACCTATGTGTTC